CTGGTGACAGACTGATCGCCGGCGATTTCAACGCATGGGCGACCGAATGGAGTAGCGTCATCACTAACCCGAAAGGGAGAGCAGTCCTTGACGCGTTTGCGGCACTGGAGGTCACCCTTCTGAACAGCGGGAGCGAAAACACGTTTATTAGAGGAACCGCAGGCTCTGCCATAGACCTGACATTCGTAAGCAGCACACTTGTACCCAGGACGTCCTGGAATATAAGTAAATGCTACACCCACTGCGACCACCAAGCCGTAATAACCATGATCCATAGTCGAGCTCCCGCTCCTGTACCCACCAGAGTCACCAGACACAAATCGGAAACCCTCGATAAGAAGGTCTTCGAATACATGCTCCAAGGGCTGCACCCAAGTGGGACAGCCACAGACATGGCGTGTCAGGTCATGGCTCACGTGACCCGGGCATGCAATGCTTCTATGACGAAGACTGGAAATGGGCCAGCAGGCAGCCCGATTACTGGTGGAATCACGACATTGCCAAGGGTCGGAAAGAATGCTTCCGTTCGAGACGAGCATACCAGAGAGCACTCAGACGTGGGGTTACCCACGCCGCCGCCCAACAAAACATCTTTAAGGAGAAGAGGCGAGCGCTCAAAGCCCTGATTAAAGATAGAAAGAAACGGTTGTTCCGCATTTATGCCAGCACGCATTTATGCCAGCCAGCCCAAAATGCCCCGTTCTGTCGGCAAAAACAGTAGCCCACCTCTTCCCACAGCAACCGCCCAGACCGGCAGACAGGATGGTACATGAAAACTGGAACGAGATCGCCCCCGAACAAGTGACGGAAGAAGAGGTCCTGATAGCAGCGCGGCGTATAAAACCAGGGAAAGCCCCCGGCCCCGACGGAATACCGAGCGCGGTCATGAGGAAGGCCATCGAGCTTCAACCAAGCTACTTTGCTACTCTCTTCAGCAGGTGCATTTTGGAAGGGACAAGTGCTGGAAGAGACAGAACTTAGTTTTGATCCCAAAGGGAAGCAAAGCGCCTGAAGACCCCTCAGGATACCGACCGATCTGCTTGCTAGACACCGCTGGTAAAGCCCTATAACGGGTCATATGTATGTTCCCGACTAGAGGCCTCAATCAACAGCACAGACTGGGATGCAGCTGCAAAAATGGCAAACAGCGTAATGAAGGAGCTGAGACGCGAGGAGCAAGTCTTAGGAAGGAGCCACTAGGGCTATACTCCCCCCGAGGTAATACCAAACGGTTGTTCCGGGGGGGCAGTGAGAAGCACAACTACACAGGAACAGTCCTGGTTTCACAAGGGCCACTTGAGTGTACTGCGGTACGCCAACGTCTATGTGAAAAAAAAACACACACACACACACACACATATAAGAGTGGAAAGTCGTTGCGTACCGGACGTGTTTTATATTCGAGTGCGCGAAAACAAGTTTCCTACGTTGTGATCCGCGTGTGCGACATCTGAAATTGAAGAAGAGGGGTTGTAGCGACCCATAGTTGTGGAAGGATAAACATACCAGTGTGCGGAGGTCTTCCCTGGACCCCAGAATCTCTCTGGCTCCAGTAGCGTCGGCTCGGCACTGGGACGAAGGGGTGATACCCCCCTGCAGGTGAGTGAAAGCCCTTTTCACTCAATTTTCCGAATTGGGTGATTAGGTCTGCCATCTTCGTGGTCAGTTGACTGATCAGCTGCGCTTCAGAGTTGCCAACTCTTAGCGAGCGTAAGCCGAGCTGTCAACCCGCGGGGAAAGCTCTAAAGAAAGCTCTCCTTCGACCTAAAGTGTAGCATACACATAGGCGTTAGGTAGAAACAGGAAAGGAATTATTAAGAATGGCGAGCCGTGGCCCTGGCCCGGTTAGCATAATTAAGGAGGCGCCGCAGGGCAAGGCCGAAAGCGCAGCAGCTAAAAACTCTGCTGCGCCGGAAGCTGACCCATTTAGGAAGAGCAGCAAGATGGGGAGATCACCGACAAAGGTGCCAAAATCTCCACCCATTTTCTCGCCTGCAGTAGAGCAGGAACAGGCGGATACGGCGCATGCTGGAGGTCCCACAGAAGCGGGGGTCTTCCACTTCAGCGCTATTTCCGAGCAGGGACTGGCTCCGCTTATCGCCAATGGCGACATAGACGGAGTCATTGGCGCGATCGGGGCGAAATTGTCCCAACTAAACAGTATGATGTTAGGCAAGACGAGGGTGATGGTGACGATTCCTATGAAGAAACTCGTGCAGCAGGTCATCGCCCTCCAAAAGTCAGCGTTAAGAATTCTGGAGACGGCTCCAAAGAATCCTAGTGAGCAAGAGGTCACGTGAGAGCCCTAGAGCCGGTAAGCTCTCAGCGCCAAAAAGGCAGAAGGTGCCGCAACCTTGCGGCACAAGCAATAATGTCACCTACGCAAGTGCAGGGAAGGAAATTTCCGGCCCTCTTCCGCCGAGCCATGCGGCCAAAGGCACGAAGGAGGGTGCGGAAAAATGGTCGACGGTTACCAAAAAACCGAAGAAGCAGCAGCCAAAAAAGCAGCAGCAGCAGAGAAAACTCCCTCCACGCACAGACGCACTAGTTGTCAAGTGTGGCGAGGGCATGCAGTACGCCGAAGTGTTAAAGTTGGTGAAAAATAACCCAACTTTACAGCAACACAAACATTGCGTTAAAGGCATACGGATGACTGGTAGAGGCGAGCTTCTCATCAAAATGATGAAAGCGGCCGACCCAGCCACATCCAAATTATAGAAGGCAATGCAGGAGACCCTGTCTGATAAGGCAGAGGTCAAGGAACTGAAGGAGCTAGTCCAGGTTGAGATTAGAGACATAGCAGAGTTCTCGTCGAAGGACGATATCATTCAGGCGGTTTTCGCCAACTATGAGGGCGATATTCCACCAGCGGCCATCCCTTCCCTAAGGAAGGCGTACTGGGGCACTCTTATAGCCAAGTTGAGCATCCGGCCCGATCTTGCGGTGAAGATCCTAGCGGACGTTAAAATCCGCATCGATTGGGCACACTGTAGAGTGCGAAAGACGGTAGAGCCAAAGCGATGCTACAAATGCCTCGCATTTGGTCACATGGCCTTGCACTGCCGTAGCAAGGTCGACATATCAAAAGCGTGTTTTAACTGCGGTGGGCTCGATCACGTGTCCAAAAACTGCAGCAAAGAGGCACGCTGCTTACTATGCGCAAAAACCCAGGCTCTCAAAGCAAATGGTAAATGAAAATTCTGCAATTGAATTTTAACCTTTGCAGAGCGGCTCAGGACTTGCTTACACAAACAGTGCGTGCCTTACAAATAGACCTGGCCATTTTGAGTGAGCCATACGCAAGTAAGCACGATGGCATTTGGTTTCAAAACACCCAAGGTGGTGCAGCAATTTGGAGCTGCAGCCCGAGACCACTGCAGATCCAATGCCGGCATTCAGGCAGAGGTTTTGTTAGGGGACGGTGGGTAGCCCTACCATCTATTCTTGCTACCTTGTACCCAGCGTCGACTCCCAGAAGCAGCATCTCTGGATGACGCTAGAGGACGACACCCTATCATTATTGCCAGCGACTTTAACGCCTGGGCAACGTAGTGGGGCAGTCGCCTCACAAACCTTAGAAACCACATACTGTTGGACGCGTTTGCCCGGTCACGCCTCACTCTGGCCAACACAGGGTCAGCCAACACTTATGAGAAGGCGGGAATGGGTTCTGTGATCGACATCACGTTTATGAGCCCAACCATTAACCAGGACGTCAGCATGGCAAGTCTCATATATATATATACCGGAAGCGACCATCGGGCCATCACCATGGAAATAAGAGACGGGCGATTCAAACACAAAAACAGAAATGCGTCCAGTGGGTTCCGAGTTTCTACCCTCGACCCGCAACCCCTGACCTTAATGGCGAAAGACCTCTCCTATGATGAGTGTAAGAACGCCAATGAAAATGCTGTATGCATAAAGAAGGCGACTTGGTCAGCATGCGAAGCTTCCATGCAATGAAGACGTGTTGGCGGAAATGGGTGCCCATCGGTGTTTCGGTGGACCGATGCCATTGCCGAGGCGCGCAGGAAGTGCCACCAGGCACGAAGGCAGTATATGCGCTCGCGAGGTAAGCCGAACTTCGCTTCCCTCCAACGCCTCTACAAATCCTTGCGGTCGGCTCTTAAAAAAGAGATCTCCGCGAGTAAAAAACGCTGCTTCGCAAAACTATGCGATGACGCAGATGCACATCACTGGGGTACAGCGTACAAGCTGGTAATGGGGAAGTTGGCGGCCTTCAGCCAGCCCACCCCACATGTCCTGAGCAGCTTAGCAACATAGTGGCGCACCTCTTCCCGCCGAGTGTAGCACTGCTACACCGCCGAAGCTATGCAGTTTCAGCAGGTGTTCCTCAAGTCTCGGTGCTAGGCCCTAACCTATGGAACTACATTTACGACGGAATACTCAACCTACAGCTCCCTGAAGAAGTTACGATCGTTGGTTTCGCAGAAGATATTGCTGTCGTCGCAGTAGCGAAGCTTTTAAATGAAGCCGAAGCAGTAACAAATGCGTCTATCGAGCAAGCTTCCCACTGGCTATGTGATAATGGCTTGAAGCTCGCCGAGCACAAGACGGAAGCCGTCTTGATAAGCAGCAAGAAGGGGGTAGAAACCACGCAAATAATAGTGGGAAGGACTACTATACGGTCCAAGCCCTTTATTAGGTACCTTGGCGTAATGCTGGATCACGTACAAATTCCACTTAGAACAAAGCTGCTAAAGTAGCTGTAATAATATAAGCAAATGCGGAATACCACCTATAGTTAGACAATAAGGAATACCATTAATGTAAATAGAAATAGAATTAATCGATAACTTTACAACACTGTATTTAAAGAGACATAAGAAAATAAAAAAAAAACTTAAAAAAACTTAATCTTAAAACATAAACTGAATCATAATTGTTACATGCTGTCAGAAGTGGAAATAAGCAAAATCAAGTAATAACGAATACTATGGAACGGACATTGAAAGAAATAGATTGTTCTATGTTGGCGTATAAGTGGCCAAAATGGAAAAGTACATTTCTTATGTATGTATATGCTGGCCACGGGCAAAGACAAAGAACCCGAGTCAAAAAGAATAGCCACATTTCTATGGTTGGCTGGATCAAAGGCAACAGAAATCTACAACACATTGTTTCCCAACGATGGATCTGCGAGTGGAATGGTCGGTTGCAGCATTACTAATTCGGAGCCTACTTCTAGCAGTGCGGTGGTTGTTAGCCGACCTTTGGAGGATGTTCTCAAAGCTTTTGATGAATACAGCATCCCAATGAAAAATATCACCATGGAATCGTATAAATTCAACAGTATTGCACAAGCAGAGGGTCAGCCGTTTGTGGAATTTGAGACAAAGTTACGAAAGCAGGCCCAGTTATGCGATTTTAAATGTGAGTGTGGAAAGTCGTTTGAAAATCGAATGTTAATTGATCGTCTGATCATTGGAGTTAATATCACATCATTGAAACTAAAGTTATTGGAGTCAAAGAAGAAAAATCTGGAGGATATCATTATTGAATGTAAAAGTTTTGAAGCAGAAACAAAACATAACGTGCTTCTACAAAGAAACGTGGATCAGTGTCAAAGCATACGTGAAGGTGAGGAAACAGAATCTGGAGCAGTATTTGGATCCAGTCATGTAAAGGAATGTCGAGCAAAGGAAATAAGCTGTTTTAAATGTGGAAAGTTGGGACATTTTACGAAATTTTGTAAGCAGCCGAAGGCGCAAAAGAATTGGAAAGCGGAAAGAGCTAAAAAGAGGTCATCAAACGTTATTTAGATTGAAGACTCAGGTAATAATGAAACTAAACAAAAAGAGAACGAAAATAAATCTAAAATATTGTATTATAGAATAAGTGACTGTAGTTCGGATAAGTTGAAATGGATGAAATCGTATGAAATTCAAGGAAAAATTATAAAGTTTAAAGTCGATACAGGAGCTGATGTAAACTGCATCCCAATTAGTTTATTTAAAACCCTTAAGCTAAAAGTTAAAAACAAAACAATTTTGATTTATGATTATAATCATGCGAAAGTAAATAATTTTGGTTCAGTTGAAGTACAATGTATGGATATAAACACAAATGGTAGTACAAATAACATTTTTGGTAGTAGATGATAAATGTGAACCAATTATTGGTCTTAAAGCAGCAGTAGAATTCAACCTGATTAAGCATTTAAATATTGATTCAATTGATAAACTTCCTCCAACAAAACAACAGTTTATAGAGAGATTCCGAAATTTATTCGAAGGTCTTGGTAGATTGCCATCTAAGCAATCCATTGTTTTGAAGGATAATGCAAAGCCTGTTTTACATTATTAAAAGCGGATTCCTCAAAGCTTGTTAAAGCCATTAGAGCAAGAGTTGTTCGTTATGGTTCAAGAGAAAATCATTTCGCCAGTAACATATCCAAGAAGCTAGGTTAATAATTTGCAAGTCGTAGAAAAACCAAATGGGAAATTAAGAATATGTTTGGACCCCAAGCCTTTTGAAAAATGCAATTAAAAGAGAACATTATTTGATTCCAACAATGGAAGATTTCACAATTCAAATGAGCAACAAGAAAATATTTACAGTTTTAGACCTATCTCATGGGTTTTGGCAAATGGAACTAGACTATCAAAGCTCTAATTTAACCACTTTTATGACCCCGTTTGGAAGATATAAATTTAACAGGGTACCATTTGGCATAAGTAGTGCGCCAGAAATGTTTCAACGAAATATGGTTCAAATATTTGGGGATTTGCCAACGTTTTAGTGTATTTTGATGATATATGTAGGTATACGAGGTCAGATAGAAGAGAGACACGATGAAACACTTATAAAGGTATTAGAGCGAGCAAAAGCTAATGGGGTACGTTTTAATCCAGATAAGGTTCAATATAGACAGCCTCAAGTAGAATTTATGGGAAATTTATTCAATTTATTATTTATTCAAACAGACGCATCCAAGGATGGTCTAGGATGTGTTCTCCTTCAAGAAGGGCATCCAGTTTGTTTTGCTTCACGCACATTGTCTAAGCGTGAACAAAAATGGGCTCAAATAGAAAAAGAACTGTTGGCAATTGTTTTTGCATGTGAAAGGTTTCATTATTATATTTATGGAAGGGAATTCAAAGTAGAAAGCGATCATAAGCCCCTAGAAATATTGGTGAAGCGAGATATTGATACTGTGACTATGCGCTTGCAAGGAATGCTTTTATATTTATTAAAATACCCCAAAATGACAGTACAGTATAAACCAGGTAAAGATATGCTCGTGGCTGATTGTTCATCTCGAGCTCAACTTCCTGAAGAGCAAGAAATACCTGAATTAGCTAATGTTATATTACATATAATCACTCGTTCAGCATGCCTGTCTGAAGAAGGTCTTTTGTGTTATCGGTCAGTTCTTGAAAAAGATAATAGCTGTAAAAAAATATGTGATTATGTTGTGAATGGATGGCCGTCTTATAAAAAAATAGACAAAACCGCTCAATTTTTTTATAAAATGAAATCAGAAATGCATTTTGAAGTCGGTATTTTATTCCGTAATTGCAAACTAGTAATGCCTGTTAAATTACAAAAACAGGTTGCTAAAGAGTTGCATGAATCACATCTTGAGATTGAAAAAACGTTATCTAGAGCAAGAAGTTATTATTTTTGGTCAAATATGAATAAACAAGTAAGGGACATTGTTATGTGTTTTTTTTCCAATTGTACCGTGTTTTGTTTATATGTATTTTTAGAACGAGCTTAACAAGTGTAGTTGTGTTTCGTGGGTCAGCACTTTTGCATGGCAAAGTGTTGCAAAAAGTTGTAAATGAGAAACTATTAACCAAAGTGTGCAGATTAATGACTCAAGGATGACCTAGGGATTTGGAGTCCCTGAAGCTGGCGGATTATACCAAGATTTTCACATCCCAAGAAATTAAGGAAATCCACGAGGAGTTAAGCGAGACCGCAGCGACTTGGTTGGAGTCGGTATTCGCCCAGGAGATAACACTTGACGAGGATCCAATAACTTTTCCGGATGACGACGATATTTTTAATTTAGTAGATATGAACCCGTATCTAAACTTTATTAACGATGATTGGAATGAAGAATTATCTAAGTTAAATTTATAAAAATTGAATATGAAATAAAACTACTATTATATTATATACAGTATTTGATATTTCTTTTTATTTATGGGTATAGGGTTTTTATATTCTGGCGGGGTAAAAATGCATTATGCTTTAGAAGGATATGCATATACAAATTGTGACGTAACCAGAATCTAATGCTTTCAGTACAAAAGTGACACTGGTAATAACACGACTTTGACTGTTGATAAGTGAAGTTGTGCATTTTTAAAATGTGAAATTTTAATACATTGTTTAAAAAAAAGATTTAGTATCGATGCACAGCTCGCAGTAAAACTTGCTCATTTGCCTTTGAATATATTTTTTGATCTTTTATATAAGAACCTCAAGGGTATAAAAGGCTATGTATTATTAAATTAAAAATTTTAGTATACAACTGAGGATTACATAAAAATATCTAAGTCGGAGCGACCCACACAGAAATGGTTTGTTACATGTTATATGATTATATAATAATAAAGTTGCGTTTTCAGGACTTTATATCAACTCTCAATGAAATGAAGCCTGTGATTGGCTACACTAAGCTTTAAAACCTATGTATTGGGCTTGAGTACAAGAATTTTGGCTGTAAACTGAAAAAACTCCTTACGGAAATAAAATTTAATAGACAAGGACAATGGACAAATATGTATAATTCTACCAAAAATTTATGTAACTACATTGTCAACAAAAAACCCCCCTAAGAAAATTGACAGAATGGAATTTCTCATATCATATATAAGGGACTAGATAAAAATAGATATAATCCCCCGCTCATGGAATTTGTGTCGATTGATCAATTTAGTAAATAACTACATCCTCAATATACAATTCCAAACCAGGCATTAACTTGTTATTGAGATTGGAATCGCCGGGGAAAAAAAAATGGTATATCAACCACCGAAAATCTTTACAGGACATCAGTATTTTACTTTTCTTTTGTGAGTGAGATCGCTTTGGTAATTCAAAATGACCATGGGCTAATGTGTTTATATTATCAGGTAATATTGATCTTTTATGTTCCTTATAATAAAGACTTATTTCATTAACAATTCAGTATAAAGTTTATGAGACCTGCTTCTTAGTGTTCTTTGCTGACCATAATAGGTTTTCTTATGTCTAATACATTTTGAATTCGATTTTTGGACTCCCTTCATTTTTTTTATACATTCATAGTCCCTTTGATAATTTTTTTTTGAATTAATATGGAGTAAGCCTTTGCCTTTAAGCCCGCAAAAGATTTCATCACTTTACCAGCATTTTCGTCCTTCGTTAGACCTAATTCTTTATTACTTTCCTGTACAATATTATAGATATTATTTTGGTCATAATTTGATGTATCGAACCGTTCAGGATTTTCTTCTATCAATTGATCAATTTATAAATGAATCGGTATCCATATTTATTATATTCAGAGAAGGACATATTACCTTGAAAAATTATAATAAAAATCGTACATCAACCATTTGGAAAGTTCCAAAACACAAGATCCAACATATATTGGCTTATCGTAAAGGATACGAGTCTTTGTACACTCGATTGCAGCTAAATTCGGACCAAAAAGTTCTAAACCCAGGAGTTCAGTTTTGGCAGCCTTTCTATGTTTGGTGTTATGGTCGATGTATGATTTTAGCCAAGATTGGTTGTAACTAAGTATACGGTGAATTTTCTTAAGGACCATTCCGTGTTGGATACATAACTGGAGTTTATTTATGTGTATAATATAATATAATTTTATTTTATTTGTTAAGTCCGCAATTAACTTGGAGGACTTCGAACCAGGAGGTAATTTGGTTTCAGGACAAAAGGGTATTAAGTTATGTGCCGTATGAATCACATCAGGATATTTTAAATCAACTTCAAGCATATATCCAACATCGGAATTTGCTGATTTATTTAAAACATCTAACTGAGCGATTTCATTTTCATTTAAAAATGTAAAATTTGATATTGGGAGAGGTTGACTCATAGCCCAACCATATAAATTATTGGCATCAATTGGTATGCCAAAAAATTATTCGGTTTACTACTATCATAAGAATCTACATATTTATTGTTTGCAGTAGAAATTCTTTGAGTGCATTGAGTCAACCCCCCTCGTATCGATATTTTCAGAAAATTGTACATATCCGGATTACTTATTAGTGATAGTTAGATTCTTGTAAATTTAAGCATAGCATCCCACGAAATTGAGGGTGCTGTGACATAATTAACCGGATTTAATTTATAAATTTGGTTACAAATCTTCCTAAAGTTTTCAAAAACGTCAGCTAAATTCATTACATCGCTTTCTAAATAAAGTTTTAGATAATCCCTTAGGTTTGAACATTTAAAGGTTGACCAAACCTTCTGCGCAAACTCATAGTCTTCCACAGAACATTCCTGGTCTGTGAGGGAATTAAAAAAGGATTCAATCGGTGGAAGCTCTGGATAATTAAATTTTTCAAAACTATCTAAAAAGTCATATGGAAAAATACCCTTTCTTCTCATTTGGTCAAATTTCTCACCCTGGAATTTAGTTTTTAATAGTTTAAAGTTTGAATTGTCCATATCTGTTGGAGTCGATAAATTTAATTTTGTAATGGTTGGTGGCATTTAATCTAATTGTTTGGGTAAGGGCAATGTAAAGTTCCTTATTACAAGGAATTGTTTTTAAATTGTCTCCTAGTTCCTTTATGAATAAATGTATATCATTTCTTGATAAATTATGGAATACGACAGGGAAGAAGGCCTCACTTAATTTATAATCTATGCTACATTTCTTATAAATAGGTCCCCTATAACTTCCAGTAAACTGGTTAAAACATTTTTCAGCTGTACCTCTAATTGGAAGTTCGCAGGCGCAGCAGTCGTCATTTCCGTGGCAGTACTCCTCATATGTGTCCAATTGCCTAGATGGTTCTACGTGGTTGTAAAGACTCAAAGTTGTACCTTTGAGTG